TGCCAGATGATATTAGACCAAGCAAATATTTATATTACACATAGCCGCCACACGTTTTCATTTGGGTCATCATTTGCTTTTCTTCTTTCCATATTTACTTTTCCTTTGTGTACTTTCTATTCCGCAGTCCCTGGATTCGTTTTAAATTACACAAGCAAAAGCTCGTACGGGAAAGTTCATACAGTTTTCAACGAAAAAAGGAAAATGAAAACAACAAAAGCCTTCGTGTCTTTCAAAAAAATACAGAAAAGTATCGAAACGTATCTAACGATATTCAGCAGGCGCGAAGGAAATGTTTGATATCGTTTTTTTTAAAATATTCACAAAGGGAAACCTGACTTCTTTGTAATTTCTATTGGTCTCGTTGTAAGCATCCAGGCTGCGAAACACGCAAAATCGTAAAACACGTCGAGCGCGAAGCCATTGATCATCCGTGAGCTCGCGAACGCATAAAAGAGTCAAGAACTTTTCGCCACGTGGCGGGAAAAGATTTCTTTTCACATTAAGATGTAACGTATGAAATGTTGCATTCTTCGTGTACATTGTAACAAGAAACATATCGTTTGTAAATACGAGACACGTAAAATCGAGAATCGTGGCACGCTCAACATTTAAGTTGAATCGTGCATTCACAAAACATGCGAACAATGTGGATATTTAATGTTACATCCTAACATTATTAGGACCACTGACACATTATATTACTCTTTTCTTTATTCTAGTTCAGCGCCCATTTAATTTGATACGATCCGCGAGTATTTCAATCTTCTCAACTTTTCTCCACGCAACGTGGTCTCTAACTTTTTAAGTCGTATATTTGATTTGGTTCTACCTGCAGTTTTATAAATATCATTCCTGCTCTTGACATGTTATTACCTTGCGATTCTTATTATTCCGCCTTCGCCTTTCTTATTTAGCGTGCATCTAAAGCTTCCACAGTTTTAAAGCACGCCAAGAAAAGAAACTTTAAATTCGTCGACTATTTTAATTCATTATTCGAACCTTATCGATCGAGATTAACTTTTTTCGATTTACCAATTAATAGTAATGTTAATATTCTGTATTCTCATTCGAATTATATTATAAATGCACAGGTTCCCTGTCACATATGTATTGTATATCATACCGCCTGTTTGGTTCTCACCGAATTAATTTCCCTAATTAGATGCATGAGAGGTGCACTACGTTGCTTTCCATGCACGAACTTTTATTCTGATATCCTTGCTTTGTCGTGTCTAAAAATCTGTGAAGGCTGATGCGTTTCCAGTATCTTGGAAAATATGTTAAGTCTCCCCTATACTTAAGGGTGGCGATAAATCTCTGGCCTTATCTTGTGGACTCATCATAAGTTCTAACAAGTTATCATCTTTATGTAAAAGTTTAGTAATCAGTGAGCACAATGGCTTCATATCTGAGCGGTTCGTTCTGACAAACTTGCCAGTTTACCAGCGGTTCGTGCATAACAGTATTGAGAGCGGTTTCCAAGTAGAGAGATTTCGACCCCTTGAATCATCCCTTTCCTTTATCGAACCTTCAAGCACTTGGATGCATGGTTGCCTCTTCTCCTGGTTATCTAGTTTTATAGCTGACAGAACTCATATCGTAAGATTTAATGATTGCTGTTTCAAAAGGATTAGGGCGCTCTCAGGTGTTTCAACCCACTTGTGTCTCCTGATCTATAACTTATTTATTCATGATATTCTTGATGATATTGTAAATAGAGAATTTTTAGAATGCCATATTATTCTTTCAGTCATTCTATTATCCGACCCTCGTAATTCTTCGACTAGTTTTCTAGCTGAATAGACCTACGTCCGATTATTACCATAATGATGGTCCTATACAGTAGCAACTAGGGTTATTGACTCTCGAGCAACGTCGTATCAAGGCTGACCTGCTCTTTGTATATAAACTAATCCATCAGCAGGTTATCTTCCCCGATATTCTGCAGCAAATGCATTTTCGTATTCCCTCTAGAGTTTAGCTCTTTGAAGTCATACACTGTGGTTTCGATCCCTTGTTTTACTGGTTCTCCCCTGATAATTAAACATTTGGTTTTCACTTGCATGTGTGATTTGTAACTTTTTCTATTCCCGTTCTCTCCTCTCGTATGTTTGCACTGTTTTTCTTCCTTTCCACGATCTCTCAACCGCATTTCTTTTTTGTCAAAGCGCTCGTGCCCGTATAAACACATCGAATGAATAAAATAAACGAATCAAATTAAGTGAACCAACAGCGGTGGCACACCGTTAATTGATACCGTGTTGCGTTAACGTGTAGTGCGTTCAATTAAATTTTTGAATGGTATTTTCGCGAGCAAGAACAAAATAAAAACAACCCTCGACGCGTTTCCGACCTGACTCTCGTCGGGGAAGAATTCTAATTTGTATTAGACGCGGAATGTTGTTCGTGTTTCTGATGGGAAGTGGGCCGACGATCTTATCGCGTTTAATAACGACGTGGCCACAACGACCGCGAAGCATCGTGGTTATTTTGTCGTATTGCGCGTCGAGATGATCCCATGAATACGAAACTTTCCAAGAGTCAATTCTATTCCATGTTTGCCCTCGGTAAGAACCGAACGTCAACGATAATCACATTTTTAGTACGTGAATTTTTCAATATTCACGCACTGTTCGTTATTATCTCCAATGTTTTGTTATTTCAACTGCAACTTTGTTATATCGTCCTCATATAATCATACTAGGTTTGAAATAGAATATTCAAGAAATTTAATCCACTCTGCAGACTCTAGAATAGAAACAATTGGTAAACATGGATGTTAAAATTACCAAACTAGGTTCGAAACGTTCGAATATTAATTGTTCAAATTATGATTATGTTGGTCATTATCATTTCCCTATTAATATTCAGCATGACAAACAACATTCGTATGAATAATATTAATATTCATGTTGGTAGATTATCTTTCACCAATATCTGCTAATATTGGTGAAATATAATAATTCATAAAGTTATATACGTATTATAATTAACAAACATTTGTTAAAATCTATCCGTGTTTCATTTTTACTTCAAACGTGAAATAAGGTGACTCCTTAATTAGTGATTGCGATCCCAAGTATGTAGATATGCTTGACAGTCCGAGAGAGTTGCTAATGAATATTTTTAATATAGAATTCAGTGGGCTACATAAGCATGTTTTTCGTACAATTTTAAATAATAATGCAGATAATACTGCATATTTCAGTACTTTAATTTATTAGATAGTAACTACAATAGAACGTGATGTCATGCATGACGACTCATGGCTCTCTGCCATGGTTTTCAAAGCAATTCCATTCCTCTTGCAATGCCATATAGGCTCTTTGGATGCAAAATGCACATTCACGTTTGACATTGTCACCATCGTAGAGTCACGCGACGTTCTAAAAATGTGTCATTGATGGAAAAAGGCTATTCCAACTCTGAATTGTACACCCCTGGGAAAAATTTTAATGGGAGATTCTAGAGGCCAAAATAAGACGAAACTCAGGGATACTAATTTGTTGATTTGAGATAATATACTTTTTTTTAGGTATCTATGAGCTCTACTTCAGAAAAAAGTTTCACTGCTATTCACTTGGTCCACTTTTATGGGGTTTTTCTTATTTTGCGGGGTCAAGGATCAACTTTTCGAATATTTTTGCGATTTCTACATATTCTTCGCCTAAATACGCGTTGTTTGCCGTTTGAAACATTAAAATCGTCCAATCCGTTCAGGAGTTATGACGTAGTAAAGATACGCATGAAATTTCAGTGAAACATATCAATGCTTGGTCAGACAATTCGGTAAGGAATTTTTTCCTCGAATGTGCGCAGGATTTCGGGGGTATGTGTATTGACTAAACATGATTGTAATTGACCCCTGCAGCCGAAAATAATTTTTCTGTGAATGATTTGAAATTTTTTAATTTAATTTTTTAATAACTTTTTAACGATGCCTCAATCAAGAAATTAGTATCCTTGATTTTCGTCTTATTTTAGCCTCTAGAATCTCTTACTAAAATTGTTTCCAGGGGTGGCCGAACATCCTGTATACTGGGCGTATTATAGACTTGTTTTTGCAAGTTATCTTTTTCGTCCAGTAGTGTTTTGTCTATCAGTTCAGAAAACGGAGGTTCTACCCAATTTTCGAACCCGGTGACACTCCGGTGCACGATAAATAGAGGGTATTTTGTTTAATCAGACGTTGATCGATAACCGAGGAAGGGACTCCGAGTACGGGTTCTATCCGAAGGGACGACACGCGATATCTCTTGATTCTTATTCTCGAGGAGCTCTAAGAGGATCCCTGAGGCTGGACGTATCGGAGACGAACAGCGACCTCATCATTTATATAGCTTTTGCTCTTTACAGCCGTATCCTTCAGGCAACAATCGCGCCTAGTCGACGAAGAAAGCTAGGGAAAATTGAATCGTAGAGTCGCATGAAAAATTTTAAGAAATATGACGAACTCGGGACAGGGAAGTCGCATAAATTTTCGTCCTTGTTCCCTAACTCGAAACTTCGCCTCTGTTCCAGCGTATTTCGAGTTTCCAGAGTCGCGTTCTTGTTCTCGCGCCGATAGAACCAATCGCGAGCTTCACCCGACTTCTGGCGCGCAAGGTGTCCCTATTCTAGTCTCGTGTGCGAGTCGTTGGTTCTGGTGACAGCGACGACGGTGTCTCTGTTCATTCTGATTTATGCTAATTTCATTATTATACCTCGGAAGTAGGACTGGAATCTTAACGAAAGTTTCTGTACTTTGATTATCGAACGCTCAAATGGATCGAGTATTCTTAAAGGGCTTGACGGTTGAAAAAGAATTTATTTGAATTTCGTTAAGTTTCATGGAGCGTCCAGAAAGGTTGGGACCAAACTTACTTTGTAAATATTTTTGAAAGCTTATCCTTTCAATAAAGTATTTTTCATCTACTTGGTCTCGGTAATACGTCCCAACTTTTTTGGGCATCCTGTATGAGGAGAGAGCGCGGTAAATAAAGAAACGTCCATCATACCGATGGATTGGTCAGCACGAGAACGGCAGCTCTGAGATGCTTCAGGTTGAGCGTCTGCGTGTCCTCGGGGTCCTCGATCTCCTCTCGCATCATCAACGACGTGACGTCGAAGGACGCTTGCCTGAACTTGCCGCCGTCGTCCCGTCCGAACCTGGCGATCCTCCGGCTGTTGCCCTGGGTGCCACTTCCTTCGTCGCATTCGGCTTTGAAGCGTTCCCGTGAAAAAGGACATGCCATTTTGCTATCAGCGTTTCTCAGAGGTCAGAGGCTGGCGGGAACCGGCGATCCAAAGCACTAACGAGGAACGGCGCGGCGCCTCGCGTTTACGGCAGTCTCATGTTTATCAGCGATCAGCTGTACGGTTGACACAGAGAGCTCCTCTGTCCCTCTCTGTTTTTCCCAGCCCGTTTACTGCTGGGGGATCTAGCGATGTGTGCGCGTTCGTTCGCTTCTCTCTGTCCTGTTTTTGCCCGGTGTCGGGCGATCCTCTTGCATCGTTGCCTCACAGCACGCGCCGGACCGGACACCTGCCGCGGCTACCATCAGCCCTCGTGCTCCGGGCCACGGCTAACGACGCTATCATTTCACTTATTACTGGCGCGCGCTTATCGCTGTTCGTGCCACCGCAATGCAATCAGCGCTTACCACCCGGCGTCCTCGTCGATCCTCCTCGGGGTGTACGCGGTTAAACGCTTGGCCCCTGACTCGCGCTCGTCCCGTCCCCGTCGGTTGGTCACTCTCTCTGTCTGGCGAAGCTGCACTTCAAAAACAACCACCCCCGCGGGGTTTCCCTCTCGCTTTCGTTCGTTTACTTTTTAGCCGCGCGAAACGTCGACTGCCGTCGCTGTCGTTCGCCGATCAATCGGTACGCCAGGTACTCGGTGAACGGCGATCGTTCGCGCGCGTTTCCGATATTGTCGTGCAGGATCGGTCAAAGTGCACGATCCGCAATCGAACGACGAGCAACGCTACGTACGATGCCGTGTCGGAGCGCGTAGCGCCATACTAGTCGCGGATTGACCGAGGCGCAGCGAGCAGCGCCGAGTCGACGTTTCGTCGACGAAGGGTGCACGGGGTTAGGGGTGGGAATCGCTGATAGGCGCTCGGGCCGCGGGGTGTAACGGGGAACCGTCGAGGCGCCACGATGGACGGTGCTGGAAACGCCTGCGCGAATTTTCAGCCCCTCTCGACCTACCCTCCAACCCCCGAGAGAGAGAGACCGGCTTTTTCTCTTAACTCGAAGCTCTTTCAACCGCAAACGAAAACCCGCTCTGCCCTACTTGCCCGTCAGATTCGGTCGCGCTGCGCGCCGTGTATTTCGCGATCATCCCCGGCCCTGTTCCTCTCCTAACATTTAGGGCGAATCAGTCGGACGTCTCAGGTGATAATTGTCATCGGTTAATGTGTCACGCTTGGTCTCGAAAGGGTACATCGTCAACCGCCAAACACCGAGTTTCATGGAACGTTGTATACTTGTTTGTAGATCTAAGAACTATGACATATTTCTTCTTTGGTACGCCTGGACCACAAGGGGGAAACCAACCTTTGTGTCAGAGTCCGTTTATTCGTGTCTACATAACTTTGACATCGTATCTCCATTATTAATTAGTTTGTTTCTTTCCTCTTTCGCACAATCGTAATGGAAGAGTGTTCCTTTCGAGTAAAAGGAAACTCATTTCATATTGATGTGCGGTTCTCGTTTGATCTACCTCTCAAGTTGCTCTTAGATTACGTCATTCGACTCATATGTAATCCCTTAAGTCGTAGCTCTTTCAACCGCAAACGAAAACCCTGTCTGCCCTACTTGCTCGCCAGATTCCGCCCTGTTCATCCGGCAATATTCACGACACAAACGCGTTGCTGTAGATTATTAAGACTTCCGAAGTGATATTTGCAGTTGGTTATGGAGTTTCACCATCCCAAAGAACTTTTTGATTCGTCAACTTTTGATTTGAAGAAGCTACAGGCTATATAAATATAGAAATTTACCAAATTAAAATATCATTTCAACCCGGTGCATACAATCCTTGCAAAAACTTTGTAAGGCTATTCGTTTTGGTCCTATTAGGATGGTGCAAGCTCTTAATACATCTTGTTGGATTCTCGAGTAGTTAGAGGAGTTCTCCCATTGTTGGACGCTTAAGATTCTTGCCAAATTAATTGGGCACTTACACAACCAGGATGTCTTCGTTGAAAACTTCATTTGAAAATAAAGAACGCGAAGGGATTGAAACAAAAAGTAACGCGAGGTATCGGAGAAAAGTTCGGACCTTAACGCTGGAGAATGTCATAAAATCGTAGATCTATCGTAAATATATCAATCAGAACGCTCGAGAGCATCAGCATAATCCAACCGCAAACAAAAACCCACTCTGCCCTACTTGCCAGCCAGATCGTAGCTCGTATTTCGCGAGTATCCCCGACCTCCGGGTTGTTTCGCGCCAGATTCTGCGGAACACCCCCAAACCCTTTACGTCGGAACACACTTTTCCTGGCCCCGTTCCGAATACGTACGATCAACGAAGCGATTGACAGCCTCCAGCCCGCCTGTCGATGAAGTTTGCCATCGAGTCGTTCCTTCCTCAGCGAGAACTCCGGTTGGTTATCCCTTCCCGGCAAAGCTTTGACGTTGGCACAAAGTAGACCGCAGGCCGTAGCTACTTTGACAGCTTTTGGAACAGTTGTAGTGGCGCCAGACTTATTGACTTGTGATCCAAGTCGTGGACTTTGGAAAGGGGTTCGAGATGTCTTTTGGAGAAAAGCATGATTTAGTTATACGTTGACTCGGGGGGGGCCGGCGGTTCTCAATCGTGGGCTACGACACACTGACGAACCACAGCACGTTTCTCTTGTCTTCTTTTTCGACAGAGATTAAGGGAAAGATCGATATCTCGACAGTTCAACGTGTCAGGACTGATATACGACCGTAGTCTGTGTACGTCTGTTATGAATTACTTTAGCTTTCCTTCGAGCATGCTTGCTATGGAACACGTGTAGTGTAATTTACAGCGGGTGAAATATGAATTTGTAAATCTCAAAGTTGAATAATTCTGACGCTGTTTTTGTTTATTATTTGTTTCAATGAACTCTAATCGATCGTTAAAGTTTACAGAGATAATACGTGCAAAAGTAAATGTAGAATAAATTGTTTTTACATAATGGTTCGTTTAGAGATAATGCAATTTGTAGATTTGTCGAGTACGCGTGCTATCGAATACGATTTGGCTGGCGCGTCTGTTCAATACTCACTATTTCTATTTGCGCCGATGTCCAAGTCGTATTCTACTGCATTCGTACCCGATAAATTCTCGAAAACGGACCATTATACTAACAAATTTTATTCCGTATTTTCGACTTGTGCCACCCGTGATGCAGTAAAATTTGTACACTCGCACCCTTTAAAGGCTGCATAATTTAAGTATTAATAAATTCTTGGTTTTAAACCAGGACTTAATTTGAACAAAAATACAAAGCATCTCCATCTACGGAGAAATCCTGACAAGCCACGTGTCTAGATAGATCCATCTACAGAAAGATTTCCATACGATGGCGAATTCTTCGAGCGTGCAATATTGCCCCGAGAAATTCTTCTACGTATTTGTCAACCGGGTTGCATTTTGTCAAGAAATACTTCCCCAATTTCGAGAATAATACCGGAGAATATCATCGATCATCAAAGTTCGTCGAATTCTTGGGAACTTTCGACCGCGAACAGTTGGAGGGTAATAACACTTTCATCCTTCGACCTTTGTTCCGCGGAATCTTGGAATTTCGCTGGATTTCCCCGGTGCTTCGGAAGACATATATACTTTCTTCGGATTGTACATATTTAACAGCGAGTCTGTGAACTGGAAACCTATTCTCTTCGAAAGTATCGTCTCGAAAGGACCGTCTCTTTGTGACTCTAATAACTACAACTAGTAAAAGAAAAAGTGGAGCTTTTCTTTTAATTCCTTCCTCGTTCTACAAAGGTAAACGACACAATAATAAGCATTTCTTTTACGTTTCGGTCGTTTGTACTCGACCCTTTTTAGAAATTAACGACTTAAGAAGAATTTAACGCGACCGCGGCTATGAAACGTACTTGGACATTATTGATTATATAATGCAAACAAACGTAGCTTGTTTATTTCTATTATTAATATTTATGGGTTTATTATGGACCGTGAATATCTTTTTTAATGTACGTATTTTCAAGAGGAATGCAAACGATTGAGACGCAGAAGTATTTCGAAGTAGACGTATGCTTTTCCATTTTGCTCTAATAACTCTGTTCCGTCGCCGCCTTCGGCATCGTGAAATCTTTATCTTCGGTGAGTTGAAGGGGTTGCTGCAAGGGAGGAGGGTAACTTCGCTGTTACCAGCCCTGCACTTACTTTCCACTATTTTTCCCGGCGTTCTCAGAGTAAAGCTCCCGCGTTATCCAAACCCGTCGCTGCTTTTTCTGCGGGACCTCCCGCAGAGGTTCGCAATTTGAGCTAATTTTATGAGAGTGGCTCGAAGTCTGCAATCGACGCGGACATATCTAAATATCGCCGGAGGAATTCCCCTGCGAGCGAGAAAATGAAATATCTCGCGAAGTGGGTGTACCTAATGCTTCAGACCTGCTAATGGAATCTTCTGATGGTCAGACCATTCTTAGTATGCGGTACGAAACGCTTCGTTTGCACGCGACTCGTCCCTACCAATTAATTCATTATTATCTAATAACGATGCTCGAGCACTGTTTTCAAAGATTGCAGAAATTTGCAAGTAACTCTGTCATTTATTCGTCATCGTGATTTAATCGTGTTATTCCAATAAAAATAAAATTATTTCTGGTACTTTATTAATCTTTGGTTTCACCTTTTATGTCTTCTGATTTTTGAGAAATTAATTCTTTCGCCTCCATACGGTTGCGCTTGAATACTCTGTAATATTAAATGTTGCATCCTGTCGACAGCAAATACGAAATATATGTCAACGAATGGATTAACCCGTAATTAAATTGTGCAATAATCCAACAGTGACAGGACATTCTCATCCTGCTAGAATCACGGGGTCGTGTTAATAAAATGGATGTAACGTTGTTTCGCGAGATATTGTTACTTTTTACAATATATGATGAACAGAAAAAAACAATACGTACGCGTACAGTTGCGTAACTATAGCATCATCCTCATTTCCGAATAGTTCACATTTTGAAACGAGAATACAGAGCAAAAATAATTGCTTGGAATAACAGAGCACGATTGACAATGGGTTCGTGAGAAAAATGCATTGAAGTAAAAAATAGCGAGTTGAATTTTAACAGATCTGATTGCCTCGTTTGTGATTTTATAACATTTTCCTACCAATTGTAACGTGTACCCTGTGCTTCGAAGCTCGTTAATTTCTCTGTTTATCTTTCTCAACTAATAACTAGTTTCTTAATTTTGAAGTCCCCATAAACACACTAATTTTCATCGGTAATTTCCGCGTCGAGCTGCACGCTACGCCACGCTCAAATCGATGGTACCACGGATGGACGTTACTGTTCGATTCAGTGAACTCATTAAAAGTGGCTTGTAAACGTTGAACAGCTTTCGATATCCCTAAGTCTCCAGTTAAAAGTTTACTTTTCCTGGAGAAAGAAGGTAGCTATCCGAAAACTTACGAACCCTTCCATGACGACAAACTTCGTAACTGTGAAAATACGCTTGCGTTTATCAACAGTTAGAAGCAATTTGAAGATAGCTGAGCGTAAATAATAGAAAACAACAGAACTATTGTAGCTCCACGTCCATTTTCTACTTTGATACCATGTCAGGAATTTGCACATTTTCTAGCGTGCCTCCTGCAAATTAGAATGCATCGTGCATAACCCAGAAAATAATTATAACGTCCTCGATCGGATTAATACGTAACCATCGAAAGTTGGATGCCTTCCTTAATAAAGTTAGTAATGGCCGAATAA